TGCCAATTCCTGCCTTAAAACCAAAGCCAAGCATCAATAATTCAGATAGGAATCTTCTCCAGGTCTCTAACTGGTGATCAAATATAACCTGTGCTGTTCTGTCTCGTGTGTGAACATACATTAAATATGAACGCTGCTGTTCATGCATACTGACAGACAGGCGACCACAGAAACAAAAGCAACACTAATGTTTCTCAGGCAATTTTAAGATAGTGTATGATATATTAGGGGAGGCTGTGGCTCAGGGGTAAGAGTGGGTCATCCACTAATCAGAGGGTCGGCGTTTTGATTCCAGTCTCCAGTTTCCCCTGACCGCTGTGTTGGCAGTATATGTGTGTGATAGAGAAAGTGCTGCACATACATGTACTGTATGAATTTGTGTGTAAATGGAAGAATGGCAAACTGAACTGTAAAAAACATTGAGTGGCCATGTAAATACAGACCACACACTTCTTGATAGTTTAAGATGTGCGAGGGAAAGTTTCCTCAACCTAGTTGAGAAATTGTCGGACTAGGTTGTCGAAATAGTTTTTTATTGAAAAATAAAAGTGTGAGGTGAGCAGTTTGGAAAAGATAGAGTAGTGATATGTGTGAATGGGTTGTTTGGTTGCCGTGGTGGGAACAGAGCGATGGGGCTCCACCCCCTGGTGTAGACGACACACAGACACCTGTTTCCCACTGTGTGTCAGTGAGAGCTGCAGCTCTGCTCTGCATCTGTGTCTAAATCAGAGCTCAGGTCTGCATCTGCCACCTGGACTGACTCTCAGCCTCACCTGCAGGACAGACACCAGGGAGGAAAAACCTTCACACGACCAGACAGAGGTGGACATTTTGAACCAAGACTAGAAACAAAGGTGTCACAAGAGAGGATCCCTCATCATCAGAGAGGATATCTGGAGTTTTTCCCTATTTTCTGGAGGATGTAGATCTCCATGGAAAAACAAAGGACTGCAGATAAAACAAATACTAAAGAAAGAAGGTTACAGCCAGAATTAGACGTCATGTCCGCAAAGGATCAAGATAGAGATCCTGATATCGAACTGTTTGTCAAGGTAAGACAGAGACAGAAATGTTATTTACAGTATTTTTAGTTTTAGATAGCAGATGGAAGCGATGTGTCAGGAGATTTTTTTACCTGCAGCATCAGTGTGTGCTGCGGAAAGCTCATGTAACTCAATAGTGCAGGTTCAGTTACAGCGGCACACTGTGCTCCATGTTGACCCGGGATTGTTGCGACAGTGATACTGAAGCTGCGTGTTGATGGTGTGCACAAAAAATTAATTTGTTGGTAAAGTTGGTAAACATTTGTTTTCAATGCACCACAGTGCTACCATTACTCCGGTCAAAGCTTTGTCCAAGAAGGGATATAACAAAAACAACAACAACATTAATGAAAATAAAAAACGTAATTTATATTGTACCATTCAAAACACAATTAAAAGCTGATTGAAGACCAAACAGCCAAATAGCAAAGAAAGATTAGAAAATGATTTAGATAGTTGGTAAGATCAAGTAAAAGAAAATCAGTTGAGATGTGGTCGTTAGACTTTTGCACTGTAATGTTGACCTCATTCTAATGGATTAAGTGTCAGCCACTCTGTTCTTTCATATTCTGACGTTCATTAATTTCGTAATGATCAATCCTCTTGATCATCACCTCAACTAGAGCGAAACAGATAGAAGTACCAGCGTGGAAGCGTCTAACTCAGCAGATGTACAAGTGTTGTTTTGCTCTTAGATGCACATATCGGGCCCCGGGAGGAAAGTTAGAGGCAGATGAATATACCTGAGGCAGGTGAGGTGGAGCAGGTGGAAACGCTGATGTTGGTGCCTGGATGCACTGACCCAATTAGCTGGCGACCAGGTTCCCTTTAGCTCATCCACCTCCCAGGAAACCAGTCAGCTAGGAAACGTAAAGTTCACACACACTGACATCAGCCTTTAGATTCACCTTTTGTTACTTGTGTTCCGTCGCACATTTAGTTTCAAAGCTGTAATCTTCTTATTACATGTCATTCTTAATGAAACTCACTGTTGACTCTGTGTAAACTTTTATACAGAGTGGTTCCCATGGCAGCTGCATCCCTGAGATTATTTTTCTCCTCATGCTGCCGCCTGACATGTGACCTACATGGATTGACGACCATCCAGCATAGCTGCACATCATTTATCCCCTTAGCTCCGCTCTGCATTTAGACAGTACACTCTTTTCAACACATCACAACACAATATGATTGACTGCACAGTTTAATCCTCTTATTTGAACTCTTCTTAAGGAGAGAGAGGTTCTATACTGAGATGTTGAGTCTGAAATGTTTGTGTGTTTACTGGGCACTGTGGGGCACCCATTGGCAAAAAAATGAATGGCTGCATTATAGGTAATTTAGGATGCAGTGTGTTTGGGGTTTTGCCAATTGATAAAAGAGTAAAAATGAAGATATGCATCTTTTATTCTTTTGAGTCCTCCTCTTTGGAAGCATGATTCTCAATAAATCTTTATTGCCAACTACCTCAGAAAAGAAAACTACTACAGTGATTGAAACTGCAACATATAATATTATTTACTCAAATTATTATTCTGATCTCTTATTGGAACAGTGTGAATTTAGGAATGTGTGTTGCCATTTATTGCATTATTTAATTAATAACCAAAAAATAATATTCATGAACATTGGTTTAGTTTACACTGACTTGGTAGAAAGACAATAACTGTCATTACCTCCACCAGGGAGGTTATGTTTTCATCTGCCATTCTTTATTTGTAAGTTAGCAGGACTCACAAAAACTACTCAATGGGTTTCCATGAAAGTTTGTGAATGAGTGCGACCCAAATAAGAACCCATTCAATTTTGGTCTGGATATGGATCAGGGGACGGATCCAGGAATTTCTTTTCACTTTCTTTAACATTGTGAGACAGGATGTTTTTCAAAACTTTATTGGATTTCTCAGAGAATAATTCATGGGTCTTGATGAAAGAAATCAGCATGTTTATGAGGTTTATGAGTTTGTGCAATTAGGTGGTGATCCAGTTACTTTAAATGTGGTTTCATAAGGGGAATGTTGGGTCTTGGAGGAGGAATGCACTCTCTCTTTCTAGTTAACATGTGTGACAGACTAAGCACAAGGAAACTCCAGTTAAAGTATGATTTACATGAATATGTATGTGACGGATCATATGAAGTGACACATCACTCAGTGGCTCCAGTCACTCACGTTATTGGTGCCCGCAGAGCCCAGTGTGTGTGTGGGTTTGTTTGTGTGTGTGTGTGTGTGTGTGTGTGTGTGTGTTTGTGTGTGTGTGAGACTGCTTTTGTCCTCCATGTTCTAGATGTTGATTGGCTATTATCAGCGGTTGTGTATTGTGTTTCGGCCGTGCTGCTGAGCGCAGCCATAACAATGCACAGACAGATACATCACATGCACGGCGGGCAGCCTGACAGCAGTGGGAGCATCAATGGTGTGCATACAGTCGGCTCAGCTACTTTCAGACTGGCAGCTCTGTATTTTCTGGTGTTTGCTCGGAGCTTGTCAAGTGACCACTGGTGCTTGTGATCTTGTACTTTAATGCCATCTACCTCAATGATTAATAATTCAATTGCACATAATGAAACTCATTGGCTAAAGAGGGTTTCATTTCCAAATCATGAATGCATGAAGTGAGGGAAGAATAACTCCATTTATTGAATCCCTGCTCCCCTCGCTGACCTCGAGGTCAGTGCTCTCACTCTGACACATGCTGTGTGTGCAGGCCGACAGCTCTGACCCTGCGCTCTGTGGCCCAGTGGCCAGTGAACCAGCTGACGGAATGGCTATGTATAATTCAGCTGTGCCAGTGGATCAGATGTCAGTGTTGGTGCTCTGCTGAGCATCTATACACAATATCACTATGTGTGGAAGAAACTGTTTGGTGGAGAGGAAGTGATTCTATTAGCAGTAACTGTCTGAAGAGAAAACACAACTCTTAATTCTTTATTTCTTCAGTTGATGGTTAAAATTTAAAATACCAGAGAACTTGATGAATTCATTCAAAGTAGTTAGTAGGAAGTTTTCGGGTTGTCTGTCTGTCTGTCCTATTCCCATACCGACTGAATTTCCTCAAATTTGGTAGAAATATTCACTTACTCAAAAATACTCACTGATTCCATTTTTGTGGTCAAAGGTCAAAGCTCTAGGTCGGCTATTGAAGGTGATATCTCTGCAATGCCATCAAGGAATCTTTCACATCTGGCACAAACATTTACTTATACTGAGGGATGACCTAAATTGAAGGCCTTTGGAATTTGAATGTTGGGGCTTAACTCCAAAAGTGTTTTGTGGACTCAAACATCTCACCCACCCCTCCATTGGCATAGTGGTAGTAGATAATGAGTGAATATAACTTTTGGGTGAACTATCCCTTTAATGTAGTGTGTGCATGTGGTTTTTGAAATTATATTTCCTTCTATGATCCCTCATCATTGGAGTGACATTCTGTATGCAGCACATTTACTAGTTAATGAGTGTTTATAAATTGCAACATTTGGTAGGTCTCTGTATACAGGGTCAGTGCGTGGGAAGATTGTAAGAGTGTAGTTTTGGTTTGACTCCTTCGTCCTCATTGAAAGCTGATGTGGTGTTTAGGTGTTACATTTATACAACCTCTGACACGTCTCCCAACAACCTCACTAATCAAATAACAAGATAACAATAGAACAGTCAAGATAACAATCACCTATACAAATATATATTTAATTATTAGCAGGAAGGTTGTAACCTTGGGAGCGTCACAAGGTTTCATTTTGAGACAATGACGTACTACAAATACAAATACTTAAGATAAAGTTTTATTGAAACTGTGTCAGAATTGTCTAATTGGTTATTTTCCATCCCATAGCTGTTTCTGTTGTGATCACATTATCCTGAGCCATGCACCTGCTCTGTGTGTGTGTTTGCATGTATACATCACATGTGTCCTATTTCCTTGCCCTGACTTATATTGTCATGTTGTGTTCATGTGCAGGCCGGTAGTGATGGAGAGAGCATCGGAAACTGTCCCTTCTCCCAGCGCCTCTTCATGATCCTCTGGCTCAAAGGAGTCGTGTTCAACGTCACTACCGTCGACCTCAAGAGGTCAGTTACACACAGAGATGCAAGAAACTCCCAACCTGTTAGCACACCTATACAGCTTCCTCTTGACGTAGCACTTCCCTCCAATGTGTGCTCCGCAGGAAGCCGGCGGATCTGCACAACCTGGCCCCGGGGACGCACCCTCCCTTCCTGACCTACAACGGAGAAGTCAAAACCGATATCAACAAGATCGAGGAGTTTCTGGAGGAAATGCTCAGTCCTCCAAAGTAATTCTGCTGGAAGGTTTTACGACATGTAGTTTACAGTATCAAGATTATATTACAGACTAAACACACACACACACACACACACACACACACACACACACACTATGAGCTAGATTTATTTCACTACAGCAGCACTGTTGAAAGGACAGGAAACATTTTGGCCTAGTAAAACAGAGCTGCATTTGATGACGACTGATGTTAACTGATACAACTGTTTGCTGTTTATGGCTGTTGTAAATCTTTGCTGGATGACTGTGTGTGTGTGTGTGTGTGTGTCTCAGGTACATTTGAACATTCAATTCTTGAAAAAACAAAATGCAACAAATCCAAATGTATTTGCCTCATTGACAACATATTTTGTGTAATTTCAGCAAAAGCAAGACATATTTTATTTCTTGTGTTTTGTTATTGCAAATGTTTTTTTAAAAGTCAGTGTGTGAGAGCGAAACATCAGATTAACTAAATCTCTCTTTATGGCCTGTAAAGTTTTTTACATTATAAATGGACCTTACTGTGAGAAAGCTCAAGGAGGCGGGCGGCCAACATGGTTTTGAGTGTGTAACACGTTTTTAGTCTGAGCTGAGCTCCGGCCCAGGTGTTAATGCTCTCCAGATGGTTCTGTCCTGACTGCGTCTACGTCCTCCACCCCCCCCCCCCCCCCCCCCCCCCCCCTGTCTGCTCAGGTATCCCAAACTGGCCGCCAAGCAGAGGGAGTCCAACACAGCTGGAAATGACATCTTCGCCAAGTTCTCAGCCTACATCAAGAACACCAAACTGGAGGCCAATGCTGGTGGGCTGCTCACTGTTTCTTTTACACTCAGAACAAGATGGAAAAAATACATCTGACAGCCATTATTTCATTCCTCCACTAGGCTGTAGCAGAGTCCAGTGTTTGTAACTCAGAGTGTTTGCTTTGCTGCCACCTAGTGAGGTTATCACCACACAGGTTATGTCACTCTATTTATTCCTGTGCGTTTGTGTGTGTGATTAGTTCTAGAGAAGGGTTTGACCAGGGCCCTGAAGAAGCTGGACGACTACCTGAACAGCCCCCTGCCAGATGAGATCGATGCAGACAGCATGGAGGAGGAGAAGGGCTCCAGCCGATGCTTCCTGGACGGGAACGAGCTCACCCTGGCAGACTGCAACCTGCTGCCTAAACTGCACATAGTCAAGGTAAACACAGTGTTACAAAGACAAACAATAGAAGGTGAAATCCATTCTTTTAAAATGATGTTTTGTTGTTCCAAAGGTCAAAAGTTCAGTTTACATGTCAGGTGTTCACCAGTGAGTGCTGCTGCTACAGGAGGCAGGGTCTAATGTTACCTGTCCACTCTGATTGGAGAAGGCACAGATATTATGTTGTGGAGTAAATGTGAAAAGAATCTGAAAATAAATATACTTTGAGTACAAAGTAAATGTACTTTGCTACATCTTGCCACTGATTGCCACTAGCTCTGATAGATCATATTGACGTTCAACATCAGCCTCAGCTGTACATTGTCCCCTTTAGCAAATATTAACTAACACTAATCAGAGATGGTGCACATCGTTGAAGATTATACCTGCTACACATTAGCATCTTAGCATCGTTAAGTTTAACACAAGAACTGGACCCAGACGCTAACCTCGACACAGAGGTGCAGTGAAAGTTTAACAGAGATTTAATGAATATTAGAATGTGCAACAGATGAATCCAATAGTTTTTAGGAATAGGACAGAAACCAGACTCACGACAGCAGCAAGACAAAAAGGCAGGAACAGGCATCTAAGTCTTTACCACTGGGTGAAACAGACAATTACCAGGGGCAGGCTTCAATATGGAGGGTCTTTTGCATGATGATTAACAATAGGTGTGATCAGGTGAGGAGGAGGCGGGATCGAGCACGACCTGTAGCAGCCCACACTCAGAGATGGGGGAGGGACAGACAAGAAAACAAGGGAAGGGAAAACAAGACACAGAGAAAATGTGAATGCATTTGAAAAAGTGCAGCGACTCAGAGCATTATTCTCCTCTGACATTTCCCCCGGTCCTCTGAAAGAAGTCCTCATGCTGTTAGTGCTCACTCACTTTCACAGAAAACACCCAGGAGGTTGTTTAAACTCATTTATTCCTACATTTATTACCTGACAGAGCAGGAAATGAGGCCGGTTGACAGAAAGCAGATAAATGGAAATGACAAATTGATTCTACAGGTGGACTCCCACCTGAAAGGGTGGATTTTAAAATTAAAGTTTTTCATTCAGGTTCATGTTATAGTTACAGCTTCTTTTTCCCGCTACAGGTCGTCGCTAAGAAGTACCGCAACTACGACATCCCCTCAGACCTGACGGGCGTGTGGCGGTATCTGAAGAACGCCTACACGCACGACGAGTTCACCAACACCTGCGCTGCTGACGCTGAAATCGAGACGGCCTACAAAGACGTGGCGAGGAGGCTGGCCAAGTAACTCGCCAATCAAGCTCGAGTGAAACAAACAAGCACAACACAAAACAATACTACTTTCAAATACACGTGACTGTCCTTTACTTCAGCGACATTTATCTAAGAAGCTGTGATTTCTGACTGTGATGGTGAACAGATGTTACAGATGTCTTTTGCAGCTCCAGATGTGATGGATGCAAATGCAGAAACAGACGCTACAAATCAGAAGTGGAGCAGAATATAAATCGACGACCTCAAATCACAAGCTTTCAAACCGGATTGAGATTTTGCTGCCGTGAAACTTCTGACATAACGTGATCATGTCTGTCTGCGTTCATTTCTCATAACACAAGTCTCTCTTTCATACGTACTCCACCACCGGTCCACACGGCCAAACGTTTTTCTAGCTGCTGATGTCAGGGTCGCTAGCTTTATTTATTCCTAAGCCCACAGAAGACTATTCAGTTTGCATTGTCACGTTCTGCCTCCTGTGTACGCACCTTTCAAATTAACGTTATGATTGAAGCCCTGACTGATTATGATTATGATTCTCTCTGACCTTCACACATCAGTGTGGGTGTGTATGCATTATTCATAAATTCACTCTTGCTTCCAAGAGGATGGTTTTTAAGAAGGATTGATTATAGAATTAATTTGAGGAAAAACCCCCAATCTGATCTGTTTTTCTGAATTAAGGAGATCATTTTCATTTGTAAGAAGAAAAAAATGGAGCCGCATGATTTCAAGTTCCATAAGTTTTCTTGAACGCTGTCATTCTTTTGAGGTAATATATCTTGTTAATCCAGAAAAACAGCAACATTTTTATTGAAAATTTTCTTGCTAAAGAAAAATGCTTGATGCAATCGAAGAAGAATTAGCCGATGAGAGCGTCTGTAACTAAAAACAAAGCTTGTTTCCGAATTCCTTGCACAAATCTGTTTGATTAAATTGTAATATTTTTAACCTGATCTTCATAAGATATGAAAAATCGTCAACTATGTGCCTTTATTTGGAAGTATCAAAAGTCCACGCCAACGTCACTGATGGACTCATTCTGAAAAATAAAAACCTGTATTGCAGCCGGAGCTGAGAGGTTTGGTTTTGCCTCCAGCTGTTAGTGTTGGGTCTTAGGTATTGATTTCGTCTCCAGTTACAGACGACATTATGAATGGAGAGTGTATTTATTCAGCAGCCCCAATCAGGCCTGATTAGCAAGAGAGCCATTAGCGCCGCGATGAAAAGCATCTTCCAGGCCAGGTCCACCGTGGTCAGGAGCCCTGCCCTCCAGCTCTTCATCACACAGACACGTTTCCTCTGCTCGTAGGGAGTCCATCAACTTCCACAGCCGAAAAGTTCAAGTTCAAAAGTTTCATTAGGAGCAGGACGGATTGTCAGAGGAGGATGGAAATTTGTTTTTCGGGGGGCTTATCGTCTTTGGCGTGGTGTCAGGCTGCAACTACAGCGAGACTTCCTTGAAGAACCATAAGGCTCTTGTGTGGTTTGGACAAACATATGAAATGAAATTGGAGCATGATGACTGAGGGGCTTGCTCATTGCGAAGCTCCACAAATAAAATAATATTTTCACAGATCTGCTTCTGCCTTTTCTTTTCTTTTCCAGCGAGGTGATCAATCAACACTGATACTTATAGGCCGTCAAGAAGGGAGGGACGGAGGGGTGAGCGTTGCGTCTCGACGATAGCGGAGGCGCTACCGAGGCCTGGAAGTCCTGAAAAAGGGTTAAGTGTCTCTGACTTGAGTTGATCAAATCCAGTGGTGCAGGTCTGTTTCTCCATCCATGACAGAGAGCGAGGGAGAGGGAAGGAGAGAGAGTTAGAGTGATGACCGTTGACAGGCTTAAATAGAGGCTTCCATGCCAGGGATCAAACGCCATCCCTCTTCTCCACTCTCTCATTAAGACGGAAAACCCGAGCACCGCCATCCGATCTGTCTCCATTTTTCCTCAAAGGAGTCTAACTTGAAAGATCTGCGCCTGTCGGATTTACAATGGTGGGCGAGCGGTGTTTACTGAGACGCGGCCTTGCCAGAAACAACAGTCAAAGAAAATAAATGGAGCCTGCCTAGTGTTTCCACAGGAGTAAGGAAATATGGAGCGAGACTTGTGCCTTGCTGTTTGGTAATTAGTACCTAAACATCCCTGTCCTTGGATCCCATCGCTCACATCCAACATTTCTGCGAGCTGGATAATATACAGTGGAGCATTAACGTCAAACACGTCTGGTCACGGGGTCTGGCAAGCCACATTAATCTGTTATTACACTCCCAGTGGAGCTAGCAGTCGCTGGCCTTGGCTCGGCCACCGCAGCACGGGGAGTCTGTGTATAGGCTGACAGGGACTCACACTCGGCACACTTTTATAGCCAGGTTTACTAAACCTTTTCAGCTCGGGCATAAATTGTGTTAATTGAGTCTCGCTTTGAGAGCCAAGCTGATTAAAACAAACCAGAGCGTTTGACGTGTGAGGACCCACCAGAAACAGACCTGTGATCCAATTAAAGGCCAGACCCATAGTTTGAGAAATACTGCCGTGTGAGGCCTCGGTGCCCCTCAGCAAGAACAAGTCAAACTCAGCTGCTGCTTACCTTAGATATTGTACCCAGGAGACACACACACACACACACACACACCCGGTTCAGCCTGAGGTGATGTTTGCGTTTCTTCACTGCTGAATGTGTTTCAGCAGAGACTTTTTTATGCACATCTTATAGTATCATATAATCCCTCTTCCTTTCTCTTCTGATTCTAATCATAAATGAGACCAGAGCGCCCCGAACTTTTCAACCCCTGACCAAAAAAGTAAAGGTGCCACAGACTTAGGATGAGAACAGATGAGATGAGAGAGGAGAAGAGAAGAGTCATTGATCCGTCTCTGGGGAAATTCACTTGGTACAGCAGCAGATTGTCAGAATGGATTAGATAAGAGAATAGAAAAGAATAAAACCAGTTAAATAAACAATACTGAGAATATGTACATATCAACTATCACAACGTAAAAAATAATTTGTATAGAGATGAAGTTGAGGAAAGTGGCACAGAATGATTTCATGAGGATGTAAACTGTATTTGGGGAAATGTA